CCCAGCAGTCAGAAACTAAGAGGTGATGGTACACATCTTCAATCCTAGGATTCAGGAATAAGAGGTAGATTGATCCTTGTGAGTCCAAGGCCACCCAGATCTATACAAGAGTGAATCAGTCTGAAATAGAATTATAGCTCACACCTTAAATCCCAACATTAGGGAAGTATATAAAACAGAAGCAAAGTATCAGAGAGGCATTCATTCTCCAGACACACTGAGGAGAGATTACAGTCTGAGGCTTGGTGAGAGCTCATGGAGACAAGACCAGTCCATTCAGCATGAGGTAGAGGTAAGAAGGTAGTGGCCAGCTGCTTTGCTTTTCTGATATTCAGCTTGAAGCTTGAACCCCAATATCAGTCTCTGGGTCATTTATTTATTCATGTTACACATAGCAAAATGTTGACATTCATTTAACTTGAGTAATTCATGCATTTGGATTCATTATATTTTTCTATTTTTTTAGTGTGTTTAAAAATTCCCTAAGGAACTGTTGAATTAAAAGAAAGGAGATGTCACAGTGGGTAAGAGCCCTGGTAACTCTTCTAAAGGACCTGAGTTAAATTCCCAGCACCGACATGGCAGCTCACAACTATCTGTAACGCCAGTTCCAGTGGATCTGACTCCCTCACACAGACATACATGCAGGCCAAATACTAACACACATAGAAATTAAATGAATAAATAAATAAGATTACTAAAAAAAGGAAGGGAGGGAGGGAGAGAGGGAAGAAATGTCCTGGTGGTGGTGGCCCATGCCTTTAATGCCAACACTTGGGAAGCAGAGACAGTTGGATTTCTGTGAATTTGAGGACAGCCTGGCCTTCAGGGGGAGTTCTAGGACAGCCAAGGCTACACAGAGAAACTTGGTCTTGAAAAACCAAAACAAAAATAAAAAGGGAAGAAAAAGTAGAGAAAAAAGAAAGAAAAAAAGGAAATGAACTCAAATATAAATTCTTCATTTCATAATTTATCTTGAAGGGGTAGAAGAAAATTAACTAACAAAGTAATCTAGATTCACTTAATCAGTCAGGGTATATAGAATATCCAACTGGTATAGAATTCAACTTTAGGGGCCAGTGTGAGGGTTTAGTAGTTAGAGGTACTTGCTGCCAAGGCTGATGACCTTAGTTCTTAGTTTGATCTCTGGGACCCATGTAATAGAGAACCAACTCCTGTAAGTTGTCTTCTAACCTGTACACATACACACGCACACACACACAAAACACACATATATGGTGGTTTGAATATGAATTCTCTACCTAATGTCCATGAGATTGAACCCTGAGTCCCTAGCTGGTGGTGGTGTTTGAGAGCAGAGTCAGACAGGAAACATCCATTTCTTGTTAGTCTGAAAGTGACTGTTTCTCTCTGTCTCCACTTAGGGACAGCTGCAGGACAAGGCTCAGTGATATTCCCATATTGTAGGTGTTCAGGATACTATTAGACCTTTTCTCTGGAAACTAACAAATACATCAGGAAAATCAATTAACATCTGATTTCACCTAATTTAAAAGTAATTTCTGTCTTCTTTCCTTGGAGATCTTTTCTCTCTTAAGATACGGATATTTGGGCTGGTGAGATGGTTCATTCAGTAGGTAAAAGCTTGCGTCCAAGCCTAACAAACCGAGTTCCATTCCCAGAATCCCATGGGGTGGAAGGAGAGAACCAACTCCTGTAAGCTGTCACCCGATGTCCACAACCACCCCCCACACACACACACACACACACACACACTACACATATACACGTTTACAAATGTATACACACACATGTACACACACAATATAATAAGAAGAGGATTGAGATGCTATTGTCATATGCTCTGTCAGTAGTTTCTGATTAACATTACCCAGAGAAACACCATTTCCTTTTCCAGTCCTGGGTGGTTTGTGGCTCTGGTTGCCTCTGACCCTGTCATTCCTTGGATTGTTTTGGTCTCAAGCAGCTGGCTGCTTTCACGAAAGTTTCTTTAGCTTTCTGAACCATAGGAAGACTTCCTGTTCTGAGGCCTCTTACACACTGCGGATGGGATTAAGAGGGAACAGCCTGTTCTGAGGCCTCTTACACACTGCGGATGGGATTAAGAGGGAACGGAAGATTTCACAGGATTCTTAGAAAAATCTCAGAAGGACCTGTCTCCTGGTGAAAAAAAATGCCAAGTAAAGACAGTGATCACTTACCAAACACTTCTGTAAAGTGTAGAATGCATAGCAAGTCAGACATCAAAACACCCAACTGGCCTGGGGATTCTATGCTGTTTTTCTTTTTAAAATGAATTTATTTATTTCTGGGGTATGCATATGCCACGGCACACATGTGGTGGTCAGAGAACAACCTGTGGGAACTAGTCTGTGTGGATTCTATCGGGTGGATTCTGGAGGTTGTCAGGCTCAGTGGAATACACCTTTAACCACTGTGCCATTTTGTCAGCCCTCTATGTCATTTTTATAAGTGAAATTATATACATAATTGAATGTTTACAATGAGTGAAAATTGCATTTGTGTATAGGTAAGAAGCTCTCCACTACTTTCCCCTTCCTCCCCTCTCTCTGCCTCTCTTTTTTCTTCTTTTCTTTCTCCTTCCTTTCCCTATTTCTCCATTTCTTTCCTTTCTGTTTTGTGCCCTTTCTTTTTTCCAACACAAGCTCTCCCTATAGCCTAGGCTTCCCTTGAACTCATAATATCCTCAGCCCAGCCTTCCAAGTGCCAGGATAACAGGCATGCTCTACCAGACCTGGTTGAATGGGAATCAATTTCTTAATAGTTCATTTATTATTTAGCCAGTTTTTGCTCCAGGCTGTGTAAATCAGGAATATAACCTATAAAATAAAGCAATGTGCATACATTTTCTTCACTTAAAAGGAAGCCCTTGCATATTACCTACTTGTTGTTGTGATGAAATACCTGACATAAGCTTGGCTAACAGCTTGAGGATTAGGGTTCAAATCCCCAGAAACCCATGTAAATGCCAGGTGGGCATGGTGAACCATCTGTAATTCCAGCCAGGGAAGGAGGAAGCAGAGGATCCAGGGAGCAATCTATCGAGCAAAACTAGTCATATTGGTGAGCTCTAGGTTTGATTGGGAGATCCTGCCTCTATGAATAAGGTGATAGAAGATGACTCCATGAACCTGGGGCCTCTATGTACACATGCATATAAAAACATGCATACTACACAATGTACTGCATGAAAAGTGGATAAAGACTTGAATTTAAGAAAGGAAATATGTATTTGTTTATTTATGTATCTCTATGTATGTCCATTACACATACACACACACACACACACACCAAAAAGAGGTTAATGATTGGCAGTAAACTTGCCTGGCATACAAAGGTCCTGGGTTCCATCCTGAGTGCCACAAACAAGCAAAACTCTCTTAATTTTCTAAGACAATGTTTCTCAACCCATGAGTCATGATCCCCTTGAGGGCTAAATGACCCTTTTACAGGGGTTGCCTAAGACCATCAGAAAACACAGATGATTTATTACAGTAACAAAATACAGTTATGAAGTAGCAATGAAAATAATGTTATTGTTGGGGGTCATCACAACATGAGGAACTGTATTAAAGGGGTCACAGCATCAGGAAGGTTGAGAACCACTGATCTAAGAGATCAGATCTTAAATTCATCTCTCCCTAGCAGCAACTACATAGGTGCATGTATGTTAATTAGCTCGATAGTACTGACCATTTCACACTGTACATCTATCAAAAAATCACAAACTGAATATGTTTCATACATCAAGAATAGCCCAGCAAAACTGTTCAATAAATCTATGAGTCAGAAGAAAAGGGGAAAGAGGAAAGGAAACATGTCTGTGAGGGTGGGCAGAGGAGCATCACTCTAATGAACTTTAGCTACAGGCTTTGCTGTCATTGAACAGCCTGAATTGCCTCAAATATGCTGGGTCCCTCTTGTCTTTGGTGACCCCTCTAGCCACACATCTACTTCTGCAAGGACAGTGGTTCACTCCCAACCCCACACTTTCTCTCCTGACACCCTTCATTGGCACTATTATCAGTATATAGAAATGTTCAAATCATTCTTGCCTTCAAGGAAAAATGAAGAGGTGTTGAGGACATGGATCAGTAGGCAAGACCACTTGTGCAGGCATGAAGGCCTGAGTTCAAATCCTTAGTACCTGTGTAGAAAGCTGGCCATTGTTGTAATCCCAGCATTACATGGAGCAAAGACAGGAGAACTGCTGGGGCTTGTGGGCCTAGTCTAGTTATAGCTTCAGTGAGGGACCCTGTCTCAAGGGAATAAGGTAGAGAGTTTCTCTTTCAGCTGCTGTGACAAATACCTTGACCAAAATCAATATTGAGAAGTAAGGGCTTATTTGGTTTACAATTCCAGGTTAAACAGCCCATTATTTGGGGGAGGTCAAGTCAAGAACTTAAATATCTGGTCACATCACATCGACAGTCAAGAGCAGAGAGAGGGCAAATACACCCTTCCTTCCTTGCTTACTTTAAGTTCTCTTATACTGTTAAGGATCACTTTTCTAAGGAATAGTGCCTCCCACAATGGACTGGGTCTTTCTTCATCAACAACTGGAAACAATCCTCTACAGACAAGCCCACAGGCCAACTTTACCTAGAAAATTCATCACGAAGACTCTTCCCAGGTGATTCTAGGTTATGTCAAGTTGACAACTAAAATTACACCATAACACCATCAAAGTACTCAGGATAGAAATTTCAATTCAAGAGACTACTTAGTTTCAAGAAGAAAGTAAATGCAAAAAGCACCAGATTCTCTACTTAACTTCCAGAACAGGTCACTAAGGCATGCAATACACTGGTCAGTCTTTAGAGAGGGAACGTTTACGTCATCCACACATGAGAAGTGTTGATGTCTCTGCTTAAATATCCCCACTGGGATGGACTGGGATAAACAAATGTTGCTTGATAGGTATAAGAAACTTTGAACACACTCCCAGGATGAAGTTCACATCACAAATCAAGAGGAAGGGATGCCAAATTACACACCTTGATTCCGAGTTCAATATTCTCTCCTCCGTACACATCCATCCCAGGGTCCAGCAGACCAATTTCACCAAAGAATTTCCTGTTGACCACAAATGAGCAGCCAGTCATGTCCTGTGTCCTATGGGAGAGAGAAAGAAGCAAGATTGTCAACATGTAGGCAGGTGATATCTTCTTTTGCAGACACTTATCATAAGGTGTACAGGGATTTCTGCCCCAGTCCTTTTTGAGTTCTCAGTTTCCCCAGTCCCCATCTCTTCATAAGGCTGCTTTTTAGCTGCAGAAGAACAGGGAGTGTAATGGCATCTAAGGATAGCCCAGATCCCTGATAAACAGGGCAAAGGCTGGTCTCATGCATGGCATGGTGTCTACCACATGGGAAGTGGTTCTCAATGCATTCCCAGGACAGTAGAGTGACTCTACAGAAGTCCAAAGGATGTCTCAATGAATTTCAGTGTGAGCAGTGACTTTAATCTGCTCTACCCCAGGAAGCAGAAGGGACTGATTGAACTTGAAGCATGAAGGCAAATCAAAGAATATGTGATAGTTAATCTTCAATGTTAACTTGCTGGGTTTGGAATCACCTAGGAGACACACCCATGGTTGTGCTTCCAAGGGTGTTTCTGGAGAGGCTCAACTGAGGAGGAAAGGACCTGTCCTTCACAAGTAGAGGGTGGTACCATCCCATGGACTGGTGCTCTGAACTGAATAAAAAGGAGAGGGCAAAGTGAGCAGGAGCATTCATCTCTATCTGCTTCCTGACTGTGTGTCCAGGAGCCTCAGACTCCCAATGCCATGATGGACTGTATGCCCTCAAACTGTGAGCCAAAATAAACCCTTCTTTTCCTAAGTCACTTTCATCAGGAATTTCATCATAGCAATGGGAAAAATAATTAGCATAGAGTCCAAAATCCAAAGGATCCAGTAACCAGGTTCTGTCTGGAGACCCTAGACCTGGAAGACTCATAGAGGAAGGTATTTATATCTATGGGTATCTGAGACACCACTCCAGAAAAGCTGTTATGTACTCTAGATGCCTCCTCACTGGAATAAGACTAAGGAAAGTCTCCAGACATGTGTGAGTCCTCAGGAGACCATAGGAAGCCTATCTTGTCCTCTGCATCCTGGGTACTTCATCAGAACTTAGCAACAAGGGCTGGGAAGTTGACCCTGATGGAGAGCAAAGAGTCACACTATTGCTGGTAGTATCTTGTGAAGAGGTTGTGGTTGAAATCTGCTACAGTGTCAATGAGTCTGACAGAGACTGTGGGAAGGAGAGGCTGAAAGGAGACCTAGAATGTGGCCCCAGGGTGCAGGATCACTTTGAAACAAATGTAAACCCAGGGATCTGGGGGGTACCTCACAATGCTAGGAACAGGTGAGATTCCTAGCCAAACATTGAGACTAACTGGTAAAAGATGTGGAGAATCACTATGTCGAGCTCGGCATAGTGGTGTATACAGCTATAATCCTAGCAGGGTGGAGGTGGAGGCAGAAGTGTTGTGAACTCAAGGTTAGCCTGGGATACAGAGTGAGTAGTGAAGGCAAGTCTTCACTATGCCTCATTCAAGACCAGCCTGAGCTGCATAATGAGTACAGGGTTAACCTTGGCCACATAGTGACTTCAAAGATCACTTGGGCTACACGGTGAACTTAAGGTCAGTCTAGGGCACATCATATGTTCAAGGCCTATCTAGGGTACATAGCTACATAGTTAATTCACATCCAGCCTAGGCTACTTTAATGAGTTCAGGCTGAGTCAGCCAGCCTTGCTGGTAAGTTCAGGGCATAACTGCTTGCTATTCTGGGTTGATCTGACTGGACTTAAAATGATCAGCTGTCCTTTGCCTGGCAAGAAGCTGCTGCTTGACACAATGAGACCTGCTGTGCCTCATCCTCACCATTGCTGAACTGAGAACAAAGTGTGGCCTCACTTCCACTGTAGGCATCCATGCCACCTGTTCAGCCACATGAGCGGTAGTCCATAACACTCTGGGGACGATGGGGTTCTTGAATGCCTGCTTACAGCCTCATTTTTCAAACTCAACTGCAATTACTACCATTAGCACAAACATTCCAACTCAAAATCATTCAAAAATGATAATCATATTAAGAGGATCTGCCAATGTCCTAATAGCTCCATTACAGAGATGAAGAACAGAAATTAAAAACAATCAGTTTTATTGTTGCTATTACACAAAATATATGCATCACACATAACCAGCCCAGCTGACAGAGAGAGAGGAGGGAAGGAAGAGAGAGTCAGCCAGCAAGGGGTGGTAGCCATGAGAATTCCCATTCAGAGGTACAAAGCTTTCTGGGTTTCCATGCTGACCCTTTTCACAGGTTTGACCAAGCCCCTGCCACTGTTTGCTTCCACGTCTTCTATGGTTTGAATCTAAAATATCCCCCATGGGCTGTTTGAGAGGACCTTTAGGGGGTGGTATCTAGTTGAAGGAAGAAGGTCACTAAAGGGGTGAGCTTTCAAAGTCATACCTCAAACCCTACTTCCAGCTTCTGCTGGTCCACTATGATGTAAGAGTGTCCATCACAAACTCCCACCATGAACTCCTCCATGTTTTCCCAAACATGATAGATGGAATGAAACCTTCTAAGACATGGGCCAAAGGGTCATCTTTAAGCCAAGATGAATAATGTTGATTATTAACTTGAAGGGATCTGGAATCACTTTGGAGACAATCCTCTGGGCATATCTGTGAGGGAGTTTCTAGGTTAGGTTCTCTGAGGTGTTGTCTTAGTCAGGGTTTCTATGGCCGTGAAGAGACACCATGACCATGGCAACTCTTATAAAGAAAAACATTTAATTGGGGGGGCTTATAGTTTCAGAGGCTTAGTCCATTATCACCATACTGGGGCATGGCAGTGTGCAGGCAGACATGGTGCTGGAGAAGAAGATGAGAATGGAGAAGGAGCTATGTCATGATCCACAGGCAACAGGAAGTGAACTGAACCTGGCATAACTTGAGCATAGGAGACCTCAAAGCTCACTCTCATAGTGACACATGTCCTCCAAAAAGGCCATACCTACTTCAACAAAGCCACATCTCCTAATAGATCCACTCCCTATGAGCTTATGAAGGCCAATTTTATTCAAACTACCACAGGTGGGAAGACCCTCCCTGAATATAGGTGTCTGGCTTGGACACCTCTTTCAGATGACTTTAGGGTTTAGTTAAAATAGATAGTTAGGATGTGACATAGGCAGATTGTTGTATCTTCTTATATTTCACCTTTATGATTGTTAATTTTGGATACTTTACACTGTTAAGTTTTAATCCTCTTTTAGACAAAAAGGGGAATTGTAGGGGATGCTGTAGCCACGCCCTGCCAGGACATGGTCAAGGTGATGTAAAGTGAGGGACATTTATATGGTGGGCTGCTTTCGTTTTCGGTTTCACCTTCGGCTTGCTGTACAAACTGCTGCCGCACCAGCTGGCTAGGTCATTCTGTAAGTAAGGCTTTTCCCTATTAAAATCCCTTGTATTTTTACCTGGCTCTGTATTGGTAATTTCCCACAATAAATAGGCTGGGGTCCTGGACTAAATTTGAATGCAATGTGACCTCCAATTTCTGCTGCTTTAACTTCCATACCATGGTAGACTATATCCATTCAAACTATGAGACAAAAATAAACCTTTTAATTGCTTTTGTCTAGTATTTTGTCATAGCAATGAGGTAAGTAACCAATACACACCTATAGTACACAGCTGGAAGAGACTTCTTAGTGGAGTTCTTACCTAGAATCCCCTAGTGAGGTGCTGGAGATGTAGGTTAGTGGTAGATTACCCACCTAGAATTCCCCAATGTGGAGTTATGGGACTGTGTCAGCAGCAGTAGAGCTCCTGTTTAGAATCCCCCAGTGAAGGGCTGGTGGCATGGCCAAGTGGTGGCACACTTATTTATCTATGTAAGGCCCTGGTTTCAATCCATAGCATCTTCAAAGATGTTGTTATTTTGGTGCTGGGAATGGAATCCAGGTCCTGCAGAGGCTGAGGATATGCTTTGCAACTAACATGCAGGGGCAGGCTTATTTCACTCAGCATGTTCTCAAGACGGGTCCATGGTATTAGAATTCCCTCTTCTCTGCTAGTGGTTGTGACACATGCCTTTAATCCCAGCACTCAGGAGGCAGAGGCAGGCAAATCTCTGTTCTCAGGGGGATTCAGGTCCTCATGACCTCATGCTTAAACAATAAGTATTTTACCAAGTAAACAATCTTTACAGAGTCCCATTTCCTTTCTTTTTTAAAAAAAATCATTTTTATTTATTTTTATTATGTAAGTGTTTTGACCACATGTATGTTTGTACAACATATGTGTGTCTGTTCAACAAAAAGCCGGGCGTTGGTGGTGCACGCCTTTAATCCCAGCACTCAGAAGACAGAGGTAGGCGAATCTCTGTGAGTTCGAGGCCACCCTGGTCTACACAGTGACTGCTAGGGTAGGCTCCAAAGCTATATTGAGAAATCCTGTCTTGAAACACTAAAAACAACAACAACAACAACAACAACAAAAACCAACCAAACAAAAGACCCAGCAAGTGCTTTTAACTGATGAGCTGTCTCTCCAGCCCTTCACCTTGTTTTTTGTTTGTTTGTTTGTTTTTTGTTTTGTTTTGAGACAGGGTCTCTCCCTGTAGCTCACCAAGTAGGCTAAGCCAGCTGGTCAGTGAGTCCAAGGTATCTTCCTGTCTCTACCTTCCCAGTGCTGGGATTACAAGTGCATTCTACCATATGTATCTGGCATTTTAGGTGAGTTATGGACCTTGAACTCAGGCCCTTATACTTACACAGAAAGCAATTTACTGACTGTTCGGGTTAATTCCAAATGTCAGTTTACAGGACCAATGAGCCATCTATCTCTCCAGGCCCCAGAAGCCACTTCTTCAAGGTCCTACTACTTCTCATTACTACTCCCCAGAGAGCAGGCCTTTAAAACTCAGATCTCAGGGAATATTTCAGATGCAAACTTCAGTAGAGGTAATAATAAGAGTTGATCAAGCAATGAGGATCCCAGAGCTACCCAGTGGTGGCAGACTCCCCTCCACTCCTCGGTACATTACTGCCTCCCCAACCAGATAAACTAAAACCAACAGCAGTTA